TTTGACCACCAAAAGCCTCAGTAAAACGGTGCCAAGAGAACCAGCCAACAATGTACAGAAGATCCAGAAAATCACCAAGAATATATAGATCTGTACAAGAAAATTTCAAATCTATAGTTTAATTTCAAGAAAAAGGGGTTTAATTAGAACAATAGAGAGAGCGAGATGACTTGCCAGTGTTCTTGGAGGTCAGATATGGGCTAGAAGAAGAATGGTCTACTGCGTTGCGTCGCTTCAAAGTTTCAAAGAAAATAGGGTTGGTCGGTTTGAAGGGGTTTGAAATGAACTGACCCGACCCATAATAATTTAAAATTGTTTCACCCGACCCCAAATGACCCGACCCGACCCGACCCTGGCTAGTCCTATCCACTTATATGAATGTTGACACTAAAACTTGTAACACCGCCGCTGTTTTGCTTTATTCTGTCTTTCATCTATCCATCCCTCAAACACAATCAGGGGCGGAACCATCTGGGGTCTTGGGGAGGGGGGGATTTTGGTCCTGGTTATTNTAAGACTGGACAGAATTTTATGGCCAAGATTGTGTTGAAATAAAATCATTTACAACAATCAAATCGAGTGCGAAATCAACATATAAAGCCCGAATTTACACAAAAAATAAAATCTGATACTACCTTCCAAGTTTGGTGGTGAGAAGTTCGCCTATCCTTGTCGAAATCACTGCAACGCGAGATAAAATGGTGCCAAAGGAAACCCTAACAGCTTGTCATTTCTTGTTCACCTCAGTAAGACTTGAAACAGGCCAGGGTTATAGTCAAAATGGGTAGACTCGGACTGACCTAGCCCGATAGAAAATGGAAAGACTTGGACCAAGCTGGTAGGATCTCTTTCTTAATCCATTTTTCATTAGCACATATTTGACCCACATTAAAATTCTTTGACTCACGTTAAAATTCTCATTCTCATTCTTCTACTCATTTTCAACCACACATTCTTCAATAAAATAATATTTTTCATCACATCAATAACTTTTCCTTCTTTTTCAACTATACATTTTTCATTATCTACTATTCCAAAATATATTCTTCNAAATTCTCATTCTCATTCTTCTACTACTTTTCCACAACACATTTTTCAATAAAATAATATTTTCCATCACATCAATAACTTTTCTTTCTTTTTCAAGTACACGTTTTCAATCAAGAATAATGCTCTTTGTACAACATTGAGTCACAACCTCTAATAAGGGAGGTGCGGCTCACTATTATTTCAATCGTGTGGCTCAACTCCCTTGTGAGATATTGTAACCCCATGTTGTAACATATGTGTTATACATGTAGCATGATTGTTCCATCAATCTATTATTTCAAAATACATTCTTTCAAAATAATGTGACTCAAACACACCCTAGGATTTTTGTGGAAAATCCCTTTATAATAAAAAATGAAAAAAAAAAGAGTATAGCCTTGGCTGGGTTGAGCGGAGCAAGTCGCACTAACCTATCTTACGGATTAGATTGGCCTGGCTT